ATTTTTTTCTGATACGCTACGGTACGGAACACTGTGCTGGAAGATACATATTTGTTTAATTTTCTTTAAATGAACATTAAACATAGCTCGACAAAGTTGAAATGATTTGACTACGTGTGTTTATGTAATTCGACGGGGGTACCTCATATAATTCAGGACAAACTTCCTTACAGGTAAGTCGGATATTCTTTTAATGTTATTAAATTTTCTGTTTATAAAATGTGTCACGAAGAGTTTACGGTTAATTATTACTTTAAGAATTGTGTTCTCTTATTTTTTATTCGATTCTTACTGTTCTTACTGCAGTTAATATAAGTACTTATACCTATATTTTAAAATTTATCTGTTATAAAACATCGTTGGATACAAAACATCCCACATCAAAGAGATAATTAAATAATTTTGAAAAATCAACATTGGATTAAAAACATAACCGTAGACCAGTGTTGTCAGACCTAGGGACATTTCCGTATACGTACGGAATTAGTAGTCAGCTTGAGGAAAAGGGAACTTTTATTTTTAAATTTACGTAAAATCTTAAATATATGTCAACTTTAGGAAAAATGAAGCGAATACAAAAAAATCTTATTATGACGTGAATGTGTCTAAATGCAAAGTGGTCCGTTTCACTCGGAAGCGTGGCGTCCTGCACTTCAATTACGCGATTGACGGCACCCCCATATCGAACTTCAAAGATATGGTTGATCTCGGGGTTCATTACCTCAGCAACGGCTCTTTCAATCTTCATGTGAACGAGCTGATCGCCAAGGGCTCCAGAACTCTAGGCTTGATCATCCGAAACAGCAAGTTCTTCAAGAACCCTACCACTATCAGGTCTCTCTACGTGACCCTGGTTAGGCCCCATCTAGAATACGCATCTGTGGCATGGAGTCCCTACACTGGTGCAAACATTAAATCCATCGAGACTGTGCAACATAAATTCCTGAGGTCGTTCATGTTTAAAGCAGGTCAACCAATGTCTCTGTTGGACTACGACTACACAGATGCGATCTCCGTGTCCGGCCTGGAACCTTTACAAACGAGGCGCAGAATTTCTGATCTCCTCTTTTTATATGCTGTCATCAATGGATCTATCTCCTGAATTGAGCTGTTTGAGTTGTTCCAGTTCAACGAATCAACACGAGCTACGAGACGTCCGCTACTGTTCAGCACACCGTTTTGCAGATCTGACTTCAGACGAGGCAATACCATCCACCGGATCTTAAAGACTGCGAATGACACCCTGTTCTCCAGGGACGACTTCAACCAATCTCTTTTTCTTTTTAAAAAATTCATTCGTAGCATATGTTCTGATGGCGATGTATTTTGATCTACTATTATTTATTTTTATGTTCAGTGCCTCAAAACCATGATGCAATATCTTTATCTTTATCGATTTATATCTCATTTTTAACTCTGCAATGTTAATTTTATTTAAGATATATTTACTGTGATAGTATTGTTTAACTTGTTTAACATATTTTGTACATATTTTGAAAAAGGGTGCATACCCGTGAAATATATATATATATGTTACTTACACACACGTAACAGGATTTAGTTCTAGATTCAATCTTAAAAGATGAACTCGTAGATTTATCGAAATTATTTATCNAGTTAAACTTACACAGGTCGTAAAATAATAAGAAATATCTCTGAGTTAATTAAATTTTGTTTGCGGAATAAATATTCCGTCGCGGAAACGTTGAGAATGTTACAGAAGGCGTTTAGTGATGAGTGATGTTTACAAGTGATACAAAGACTTTAAAGAAGGCAAAGAAAACGTTGAAGGCTAACAGCGTCCCAGACGACCATCAACGTTAACTGATAAACGACACACTAATCAAATCAAATTTCTTGTGCTAGAAAACCACCGATTAACAGTAAAAGACCATGTTGATATTGCTAGAATTTGAAAAAGTTCGGTAATCCTATTTTAAAAGATTTGTTGTGCCTTAGACTGGTCAAAGCTCGTTTGATTCCAAAAATGAACAATTTTTTTTTAAAAAATAGATATAATTAACGAAAGCAAAAACTTCTTAGAAAAGACAAAATTAGATATCTACATATACATATATTATATTAAAAAACAAGAATAAATAATACACAAAATACTGTTAAACACGAAACAATTATTTACAAAAAAAGAAATGTGAACGTAGGGAAAAACATTACAGGATATAGGTATATGACCGTGTAGGGTGACAGTTTAAATTTTACATATAATAATTCTTATATGTAATATAAAAAAAATGGTCCAAATATGCATTATTCACTATTGAGTCACTAACATAGAAAAAGCAATGGCAACCGAGTAAACGATTTGTGAGACTTACGGTGTTCGGTGGCAAATGAGTAAGGTTTGTTGGCACGACCTGATTCCCTCTTTCCTGTCTAGATAAGTGGAATGTCGGAGTCGTGCTTTTAGTTCGAGGATTTGCACTTTTATACATACCACCGTACTTCGGAGAGGCTGGAAATGGGGTGTAGTGGAAAGGGCGCAAACTGCCATGAAAGCCTAATTTCCCAAACAATTTTCTCGAAAAAGAACTGGAAAACCGATATCAGGATTGGATTTCCCGTGATTGATTATGTGGAATTAAAAAAGAATCATGGTTATGTACTGAAAACAAACAAAGATAAGCGAAACCGGCAAATATTACTGCATAAAACAAGAGGAAACGAGAACTTCAGTGAAATGTTTCATTAAGAAAAATTGGACAAAAAGGTAGTATAAAAAAATCCAAACAAAATAACGAAATACTTACAATATATTATGGTATGGTGAATATTATTACAAATTTGCTTGTTATTCAAGAGGTTCCAAGTAAATGGAGGGTTAATAGTTGATAAATTCCGTTCCTCTAACGACGACTAGTAAATGCAGTTCTTCTAACTACGACTGGTAATGATAGCTAAAACCATTAGGTCTTTTTTACTTTATTCCTCGAGGAATTTGGTTTCGCTGTAATGTTTGTAATATTCTGAAATTGTATTATCACTTCGATCACTCTCCCATTATTCTACGTCATTTTCTAAGTTGCTATCCTTAGATGTTTTTTTTTTGACTTGCTTGGTTGTGTAAGAGGGTATAAAAGAAATAGATTTAGTAATGAACTGTTTAATCTTAAAAATAAAAGTATATAAATGAAATACAGAAGAGAGAGCTCGCCGAGGTTACCGGCCATCACGAACGTTACCAAACGATCAAATCGCACAAATGCCGCTTCGCACGTTAATTAAGAGTTTTTCTTTTCGTTCCTTCGTTGATTGTAGTAGAAATAAATTTGTTTATGTTTTTTATATAGTGGTATTATTTCTCACGCAATACTTCTTCACTCTGTCCCAATACAGTAAAATTTTTCTCGCCTGTAAAACGATTAAGAACTCCGTAAGTACATGCCATTAACACTTTTTGTTTGTGTAGTAGGTAATCCCCAGATCATTTTCTTTGGTTTTGTTGGATTATGAGAAAAACCGCTTTCATCCATGTTCCACGCTTGCCTGGTTCATTTAATATGAATTGCATCAAATCAAAATAAATAGATATATATTAAAAAGGAATAAAACTTTTTACTGACAAATTTCATACTTTGTGGGATTTTTATGAATAAATTATGTGTCTTATTACATTCTCCAGAATGGCGTATATACTTTATTGAACTGTCGCAGTCAACCACCAATGGTAAGGATTTCTTTCTGGCTCAAATCAAAACTCCACTTCTCCATTACTGGTGTTACTTTAATATCTAGAGGGAAACATGTAACCCTCTCATAGGTGGAAAGGCGCTTAGAACTGTTTTGACAGGTCTATCATTATCAAAGAATAAATAAAAGGTAAATACAATAGGGGAAAGTAAGTTGTTCAGAGAAATGTGGTGGGGTATGGACCTCATGTTACTGCATAACTGGCTGTAGATGGGATTTTATTATATGTATGCCTCTAAAGAAATGTTGTAGGGTAGTTTCGTCATTTGGGGTGATAGAAAATAAGAAGGATAAGGAATGAAGTATTAAGTGATTTTGTTGAAAGGTTTCAACAGATTGATAACATTCAAGGAATTATCAACTATGAAAAATACATTAAAATAAACTAACATTGTACATCCCTATTGTCGCAGATATTTTGCTACAGGTTTTAGAAGTTTAGAAAAAAATAGTGGGGCACTGCTTAAGCCAAATGCTAAGAAGTATACTGGGTACTGTCTTTTCATTTAATTTTCGGTAATCTACCACCATCCTCCATTTAGTTTACCCAGACGCATCTTTCTTGTTGGAAACCATCTAGATTGGACTGGACTAAGGAGAAAATGATGGTCTTATGACTCCTTCTTGTCGAAATTTGTCGACTTGTCTTCACCCTCTTCTTTGTGGCAAGGAAGGTACCGATAATATTTTATCACAACAGGTGTTTCATCTACAGTAATTATTTTATGATTACGAATATTGGTAGATAATAAAATGTCATAATCTTCAGGATAGAAGATTTCAAGAAATTCCAATATGATTGAAATAATGAATTGCAACCCTTCTTTATTAAGATGATCAAAGGTTACTTGTTGAATTAATAATTTTATGCGTTGCTGTTTTGAAAGTGTAGTTTGTTTTGAAATAATATTAGTTCATTTGTAGTGGTACTATAGTAGGTGGTAATTTAGATAGGTAAGCACAAATAGCTAATTTCTCTACAAACTCCGAGCCTTCATCAGAAATATTAGACCTTAAAATAGCATCTTTAAGCTTAACAATATCATGATATAGTTTTTTAGTCTTTAATGTCCTTTGGTACTATAGTACGCGCTTAGACATATTGTTCAAAAGATTTATTATCTTTTTATGTATCAATAAGGAATTAAATAATATTAGTAATAGAAGATAGAAATAGATAGAAGTAATCATCGAGGTATCGTCTTGAATTTTGTAAAAATAAAATTACCAACTGTCTTTTTGGGGCTCATTACATAAATTTATGTATTATTATTAGTATCAATGGCAAAAAGGAAGAAGGTTTCAATGGGTTTGTTGGAAAGCTTTTCGTCTGGCTTTTAGTCAATTGTGGATGATTTTGTGACGGCATCTTTAAACCTCTTGTTAGCTTCTTCAACTGGCTGGGGTTGATTCTCAGGGACGTTTTTGTTTTGAACCTTGCCGAAGGTCCTACTAATTTTGCCAAATTCTTTACGTCCAGACTCTAAGGATTGCTTCAAAAAATCCTTGATGGTTGTCGAAATCAGATTGACGTTTATAAAACCATACCCGAAGAATTATCTAGAAGGCAAACAAAGTTACGTAATTTATTGTATACGTCAAAACGACAGTAAGCGATGTGACATTGCAAAGCGTAAAATGGCACCAAACACGCTAAGGAAAAAGATTAAAAAATTTCGACCAACTAGAATTCCTAGATATTTGCCTGGGCAGGTTACTAAAGATGTACTTGAAGCCGACTTAAAAATGTTCAATGACTTCAGGAGGAAGGTAGGAAAATAGTGACTTTAATATAACTATAATATTCCAATTACATTTCCTTTCATCTTCTTTCCTTGATATTAATTATTTATTCTTTCATTTCATATTCTAAATATTTCGTTAATATACAAACACCTTCTGCCGTGATTTTATTTTTTAAATAGTATGGTAATTATGTCCATTCTGGTATGATTAATTGATAATCCTTGGTGTATTTGGAGTTTCTGAATTATACGTCCCAAATTTGTCTTCAAAAGTTTTTATAAATTTATTTTCTGTTTTTCCAAATCTTTTTCTTGCTTTCCTTAATAAAATTTTTAGTGGTATCTCTTTCTTATTTTATCTTCATACTTTAATGCTGTTCATGATGTTTAAGTAGTTATTTTTCTTCGTTTAATTTCTTAATTCAAAACGTGGTCTAACGCATGTAGATTTAGGTTCAGGGTTAACTTAATATACAGTGTATACTCTTTACAACGTCACTCGATTTAACGACAAACTCCTTAAAACGTCGAAATTGTTTGACTTTGGTTGGTTTATTTTGTTTTCTATACAATAATACACTCTATGTAGCGTCACGCTCACTCTATTTAACGACAATACGGCAGTATAAACCTTTAGCGGTTTTGGTATGTTTAATAAATAAAAAACATAAATAAAACACTAATATATAACAATAAAGCCAATAATGTCACAAAAAATATAGAAAAACAATGAAAATATAGCAGACAGTTTATATAAAACAATGTTGTAGACTTGAATATTGGCAAGAGAGTGGTTAGTGCGTATAGAAATTTAGGGGCACATATACAGCTGAATTTTTAGTAAAAAGGGGTAGAATATTCAAGAAGGAAAAGTACGGACAGTAAAGTTGAAAGTTTTGAGCACTAAAGGTGAACAATATAGAATTTTAGGAAAAGCAATTAAGGGAAAGTCAAGCTATTAGTAAGGGGTGCATGCAGTTATAGATGAAGATGAAATTCTAGGTAAAGGCTAACGATATTAGAACAATAGAATCTAAAGTAGAAAGAGGAGACTGTGATAAATATTGATTAAAAATTAAAAGGAATACTCACCCCTAATTACCACAAATAATTGTATTTGAGCGGACACGTGTTTCGCCCACTTCATACGTGGGCATTATCAACTTGAGACTGAGCTAGAATCTAGGTAAAAAGGAAACATGCACAAGATAAGAAGTGGTAAGTCTACAATTAGATTTAGAAGAATATTTACAAAACAACAATAATATTAAAATAAACAACAAAAACTAATNTTATAAATCATTGAGCAGTACTTTCTAAGTTGCCGAAATAGATAAGAACTGCAGCTGTGTACGTTGTTGAAGAAGACGATCCTGTCCCTCCACCAAGCATCAAACAAGCACTTGGTGCAGCGAAACTATTAGAAAAATACTTTTTATATAATCAAGTTGATCCAGTAGTATCTCAAGATATGAGACATAAGAAAATACAGTAACAGTAAAAAACATCAGACGAAGATAACAGACTAAACTCAATGTATGAATAGTAATGTTCCCTTGTACTGTACATATTAATGTAGAATAGTAAAATAACATTTTTTGTTTCTCTCCATTTAACGACCACTCTCTATAACGCCGAAAAATGCTCAGTTCGTTAAGTGTCGTTTTATAGAGTTTACATTGTAATTGAATTGTAACCTTTTCGTTCGCTCCCTTCATACTCAAATTTTGCTCATCATTACACTTTCGACTAATATTTCTGAAAGAAACATTTTCTTTTTCCAATCTTGAAGTTTTTCAGTGCTACTCCATATTTTTCTTATACATATATTCATTTTCCTTGCAATATGTTTGACATGCTTTTATCGCTGTCAATTTTATGGATAAATCATAGGTACTAAACTTTATCACTTCTTCTTTTATGAATTTATCTCTTTAAGTTTGATAAAAGTAAGTTAAAAAGTGCTGTACTGAGCTGGCGCCGCTGCCTTATTCCTTGATTGGTGTTTGTTTTGTCCAATAGTTTTTCGTTGATATTGATCATTGCTACACTTTCCTCATTTAATATAGGTAACTACCTCATCTAGTCTTCTTGGAAGGGTTTTGCTCATTCCTGTTTTGGCTATCAGACTCTACAGTTTTTCGCTTTTTAACCTATCGAAAGCTCCCTTCAACACAAAAAAGAATATCTTTTTTTTTGCAAAATTTTCCTATATTGCCATTTTTACTGCATACAATGTCTAATGAGTATTCCCGAATATTTGAATGGTAACATCTGGAGGCACTGTAGAGTGTATTTCGTAGTAACTCCACACCGTAAGGGAGTGCACCCCAGTTAATGAGCCAGCAATGATTGAGAACCCCCCGGTAGGTTGGCGGTCGCGTTATCTTATTGGCAGCATGTGAAGAAACACACGTACCTACTCGTGACCTTCAAAACAGCTGGTACGCAGATAGGCCAATTAAACGTTACGTTGATTGAGTTCTAGTTTGCAACTCAGTAGTTACCGTTCGATTGGCAAAGTTACTGCTATTACCACAAAATATAAAATAAGTTTATTTCGAAAATATTAACTAAAAACCAATATATTCCCACATTTTCTGGACAGGCAGGTACTGCATGCTGATACTATTATCGCTGCTGTACAACGCCTGCTTGACACAGGAAGAGTGGTACTGCACCAAGAGGATGAAGATGACTGGACTAAATCGTTTTGCGAATAATAAAAGACGATCCCGGTTTGAATATCAGAGTCATTGCACGGGAAATAGGTATTCCGCGTGATACGATATGAAATAACCGACAGTATAATTCCACAGCAGCATGTATCGACGCCGCTTTACATAATCACGTTAAGTAATTCAGATCACTATTGCCGGAGCAGTTGGGGTTTTCGGTAAGGTCGTTACCCTCATGTTTATGTATATCACTGGGTGGTGAAAAATGACTTATTCTATCTCTTTTGCCTCCCTTAATTTTTCCGGAGTACTGATCAGACAAAGCGTACATCCTGTATGTAACGTTCTTTTTCGTTTTCTATATCTTGCCATTACATTTAAAATATTTCACTCTTCTGATTTTTTTATAGTATTTTTCCAAGGATTTCTGAATAGATTTTGTAACCTGTGTTGATTAAAGCAATTTCTCTGAAATTATTAGTTTCTCTTTCAGCTGCGCCGTTCATATATTTATCGAAATACTCTTTCCATTCATGCATTCTTGTATCTTCATAAACCGTTTGTTTTCTTTCTGTTTGTTTACTTTCTGTCAATTTTTTTTTCTCGTTATGCCTGCTTTGACTTTTTTCCACTCACTCTTTTTGTATTTCACTTTTTTGCTTTTACGTTGCTTCTCTAGTATCCTTGTTTCCTCATTTGTTCTTTTTCATATCTGTCCTTAGTTTTAATTATAAGGGCCTATAGTCTAATGTTGTTCTTTATCCTAGTTTTGTTTCTTGCACTGCACCTTCTACTCCTTTATTAATTACTACTTAGTCAATTGTTGATCTCCTTGCTGCACCCAAGTATGTGTATTGTACTTCCCTTTTTCTTCTCTTTCAACATTTCCATCTAAAGCTCTTATTGCGTTGTTCTTAACCTACTTTATTATGATTACGTATAATTCCATCTTCACTGAAACTTGCTTTTTAAATCTTCCTCACCTTCCCACTGGCCATTCCACTTTTAGTTGCAGTTCTTCTAGCATTGAAATGATTTCCTTTAATTACTTTGCGTTTTTCTTGTTGGGTTCGTAATTTGTTTAACAGTCATTACCGTTCTTTCCTTTTTTTTTCTGTTAGTAAGTTGGTTTAAAGTTTGCGGATAACTGAATTGTTGGTAGCTTTTGTATTTGTATGCTACTTACGTCAAATGTTCACTATATTTTCCATCTTCTTACTACTTCTATGCTAAAAAATCCCGCTATGTTCTAAATTATTATTGTTAATGCGCCTTCCAAGTCAAATCATTGTTTATATATATATATCTGATTTCTCTTGTTTGACCAATGTTTTCAGATATTTTATGTAGAAAGCAAAATAGATACTAAACCTCCTCCTATGAATCCTTATCGATTTATAAAGGCAGACAGGCTGCTCGCTGATGCAAATAAACTTTTTGAAATTGACAAAAGAAACAAACAGCTCCTTAGAAACATTAATTTGATTAACAGACATGGTGTAAGTCTCAGTAATTTATGTTTGAAAATTTACAACATCAACTCATATTATTATTTTAGGGTAGGGTTGATTCCTTTAATCCAAACGCTTACACAAGACAATCAAAATGGAGAGCCCAGGAATTGAAAATGCGAGAAATAACAAAACACAATAAAAAGATTTATGTTTCAATTCTTTCAGCTGTAAGTATAGTTTGACTTACGTACTTCTAATATGACGCTTTTTGACATTTTCATTAATTTTGATTTTCAATGAAATCTTACAAAAGGTCCATTTAAATTCGAAGTGGTAAGTATTCTGTCGAAACTGCCAGATGAAGATCGCGATTTCGATCTTCTTGGATCCCATCAGCGCACTAGAGACAGTTTCGACAGAACACAGACTAACTCTAAGTGCTGCCTTAACACAGCGCGTTTTATGAAATCTTACAAATAGCACGGTAAACGTCATCTGTAGTACAATTCTAAAAAAGTCAAATTGAAAAATAAATGCATGCATACCTTTCATAAAGCATTTAAATTGTCCACCCCTAGCTTCGATACAAAAATTGTTAGATGTAATTGTATTGTATTGCTAATGTCAATTCTTAGTTTTCACTGAAAGTAGACGACATGTATACCAATTCCTTTGCATAGCCCCAGAAATGAAAACAGATACCGTCGAGGAAATATTCTGTTTAAATGCTGTCGTGCCTAATGTATATAAGGTGTAACAAAAAGTGCTGAGCTTTGGAGAGTATAAACTAGATACAATAACTGTTGAACAGCTTTGTTAATGGGCAAAATATTTTTTTAAGAAAATCAATAATTTACAATCCGAAGCCGGTCCTTTGCATGAATTCAATAGTAGTTGTCTATCGAATAACGTAGTACAAACAAGATGAATTTGTATCGCACCAACAGTGATTGTTGTGAAAATTCAGACTTTTGTTCAGTGTGAAGCATACTCATCCGTAAACAATACTCTATGAAAAAAATAGGCTGTGCAGCACTTTTCTTTCGAATGCACGGACACAAATCCACTCGCGGCTGAAAATTAGTTTCAAGCAAGGCTTGCACCCGCTGCAAATGATATGGCTGTAGCAACTGTTTCTTTAGAATTTGCCACATTGTCACATGAAAGGATTGCCTTCTTGGAAATGGAGGATTTTGCCTCTACTACAGTAATACGGTTCAAATCCTTAAATAACTGTCATGTCACATTATTATAACAACTGTTCTACAGTGACTGATATGTACTAATGGTTGATGTTGTATTGCTGAATTAGTTTATTGAACTGCACATGGACTGTCTCCTACAAGGTTTAAACATTATTAATAGGCTATTAGAGGTTGGCTGTTAACATAAACTTCTTGATGGTAATCACCAGCTGATTGAGTGTACCGTTGCGGGACATATTTCCTTACTAGGGCCAGAATTGAATTCATCTGTACTTTCAACTACATTTTTCTCAGAAATGATGAACTGCCGGACATGAAACATTATATAATATATATATAGTTGTTGCTATAGTGTATTTTGGCTAGCGTTTCTCAAGCGATCTTCCTCAATAAGCTGTACTTAAAAAATCGCCGTTTCATAAGCTTACGACATCTTACTAGATCTTCACCTTTCATTGGACGCAAGGCTCTGACTAACGTCGTTAGACGCACGGAGGACAGTTTTCTTCGGCATCAATTTTTGAATATTTTTGTAAAAATAGAAATTGATAATCAATTTATTAACAAAATAAAAACAATTCTAACAATACCACAAGTCAAGCAAAAACGTTACAGCAAATATATAGCAGTACTACACGCTTCAAAACAGTTTTCACAAAAATATTTGAGGTGGCCACCGCAGGTCCAATTTTTACACGACACGCACCATCACTTAGTCGTTATATTCATTGATCTACCGCACTCGCAGTATCTCTCTTGTGATCCAGTATTTTCTTCTTGTGACGTTGGCACATTCTGAACACCTACTATAATTGGATTTTCGATCATCGTTCTTTTGTGGTTTGATAAGTTTCCGACTGTCTCCAAAAAACTCGCTCTTTTTTTTGAACTTTTGATTAATTTTCAGATATTGATGCTTGTGCTGGTAATTGGCATTTATTGTAGACAAAATATTAAGCAGGTCTATCGTGGAAAAGTACCATCTACCATAGGAACTAAACATTAATTATACGGGTTATAGTATTAAATAATAGCACGTACCATGTACCATAGGATCTGTACATTAATTATACGGGTTATATTATTAAATAATAGCACCTATCATTTAAAGAGCTTTTAATAAATATGGTTACTGAACAGGACCATAGGTATTGGGAAAACAAAATTGAAAAACGAATTATACTATTGTTGATTCACGATGTTTCGCCTATATTTCCTGAGACTTTATCAAGCTCTCAGCTTCTCTAACTAATTAACAATGATCTAATTGGTTTTTCAATTTTGTTTTCCCAATACCCATGATCATGTTCAATTATTGCATAAGGGAATTGATTTGATCATGAAAAATATGATTATATTTGACACAATAAAAAATGTCTCACTTTGGGTGGGTTGATTATGTATAGTTGCACTCATATGTGGTAATTTACAAAGTATAAGGTATCCGCGGGTATTAAGGCCTGTCGGGCAAAAAGGCCTAAGTAATAAAAAACGTACGAAATACAGTAATTGACGATTAAGGTTACACACACAAGTTCAGAGCGTATAAAAGTCACGCGGCACGAATTATAAAAATTGGCTCCAGTAAAACGTAAGTTATTTTGAAAATATCATATTTACAAACCTGTATTGACTATCCGTTTATTAATTAATGTATGCTTGTCCCTAGGTTATCGTATTAAAGGACTTGTAGTTATAAAATTTTTATTATTATTTTTTTCTGTAACCACGTGGTTGGCGGATATTAAAAGGCCTATAAAATTTTACTATAGGCCTTATTATACTCCTATTTCTTTAAACTGCTGTATAAGTAGGAACGTGTTTTTAAAATGTTTGTTGGTGGGTAGTATGTACGTAGTTATACATTTTCATCACAAAAACAAGTGAGTTGGTACTGCCATGCCTGCAAAGAAGATAGAATGGACGATGCAATGAGGCAATGCTCGCGATGCTCCAAGTGGTACTACGAAGAGTGTGTCGGTTTGACTGCAGAATATATTGACTTTCAGTGTCCTGATGGATGCGAATAAAGGCAATTTATTTAATTTTCTAAAACCACTATGCTTCCTATTGTTTTATGTTAATGATTATTGATCTCAAGAATACCAATTTACGTAGTATAAGTTTATTTTTGGATAGTTAAAAGTGTAGGCCTTTTTACCCTACCCTAGTATAATAAGGCCAACAGACTGCGTTTTTAATAAAGTTATATATTGTTCTGGTTTTAAGCAAGAGAAACTATTTTTGGTTTAAACGCTGTAGTAATTTAAGTACATGACTGATTATTACTAAAACTTGTTGAATATGTTGGATATTTTTCATTTTATTACAAATTTCCCTTAGCTAGGCCTTAATACCCTCAGGTACTTTACTTTGTTATAATAATAATTTATATTTGAACACGTAGTTCTGCTCTCTATATTTTCTTGTAGTGCGTTAAGTTAGCGCGTAAGCACACGATTAGTTGAAAGTCGAGTAAGGGTGTTAAAATAAGAACTCCACGAAGTTGATTGTTGTTTTTGATCGACGTTTGGGGGACTTAACATAAACCTCATCAGGCTCATTTTATTGAAAAAAAAACATGAAATTTATATTGTAAAATTGCATTATTATTTCGTCTAACTAAGATTTTGTAAAGATATAATTGTAAATTACTTAGCTAACTTTTCTTAAAAGTCAGATACGTTTTCTTATGACTCAACAACTTTTCCATATTCTCTAAATTGTATTCTTTTCCAGACAGACCGTCACTTTTCCTTTATTTGATAGAGTAAACAAAATGTCTTTCTTTTCATCGTGAAAGGTTTTTTATATTTTACATTGTTAATATAACATTACGTTAATAATATTCATTGGGACGTAGGTGTCTGACAGCTTGATTTTTTTTGTTGTTATTTTACTTTTATCTTCATCATTCTGTTAGCTGTACTTATTTTTTATTTTTTTAATGTTATAAACTACGAGGGTGGATTGATAAGTTTCCGGCCTGACCAAGAAAAACAAGGTTTTTAAAAATTTTTTTTTTTTATTTCTCAACATAATCTCCTCCAAGGCTGATACATTTCTCATAGCGGTGTTCCAGTCTATTAATGCCATCTCTATAGACTGATTCGTCAAGCTCCTCAAAATAACCATTTACAGCTTCGATTACTTCTTCATTGTCCGCAAATCTCTTACCGCCAAGCCATTTTTTGAGATTAGGGAACAGAAAATAGTCACTCGGGGCTAGGTCTGGAGAGTAAGGAGGGTGCGGCATCAATTCAAACTTTAGATCGTTGATTTTAGCCGTCGCAACGATTGACGTGTGCGCTGGTGCGTTATCGTGATGAAACAAGATTTTTTTCTTCGCCAGATGAGGTCGTTTAATTTTCACCTCGTGGCTCAAACGTTGCAATAAGTCTGCGTAGTATTGACCAGTGATAGTATTACCCTTTGCAAGGTAATCAATGTATATAATACCTCTTGCATCCCAAAAAACAGTAGCCATAACCTTGTTCGCCGAAAAAATTGTTTTTGCCTTCTTTGGAGTTGGTTCCCCTGGTCCAATCCACTGTTTAGACTGTTCTTTGGTTTCAGGAGTGTAGTGGTGGACCCACGTTTCGTCAACGGTTACGAATCGACGCAAAAATTCGCTTGGATTACGCTTATACAATGACAAATTTGCGGTAGAAATGTTTTTTCGAATCAATTTTTGGTCGACTGTTAGCAAACGCGGCACCCATCTTGCACAGAGCTTTTCCATATGCAAATGTTGGTGCAAAATATGTTGCACACGTTCATATGACATCTTACAGGTCTCAGCTATCTCACGCACTTTCAATCTGCGGTCTCCCAGCACTATTTGATGAATTTTTTCGATCATATCTGGAGTTGTGACCTCAACGGGGCGTCCTGAGCGAGGCCCATCAGAGGTGCTCACACGACCCTTTTTAAACTCGGAAACCCACTGCTTAACGGTTGAATATGACGGGGAGGATGTCCCCAGTGTTGAGTCCATCTCTTTTTTAATTTCCTTCGGCGTTAACCCCTTCAAATAAAAGTATTTGATGACAGCACGATTTTCCTGCTTTTCCATTTTTACGAAAACCACAGAGGCGTCTTGTTCAGCGTGCTGTCAAACCTACACTAGCAAGGAGATCGGGCTGAAACTAGGATGGTACTATAGAATGTCACCTCAAGGTAGGCCTAGTGGCGTCATCTCTTGGTTAGGCCGGAAACTTATCAATCCACCCTCGTATATTTTGTTTCGCCCATGTTTCTGCTTCTATTGAAAATTTGGCCCTAAAGTCGTATGTGAAATAATTATCGTTCCTGCTGCTTTTGATGTATCTTTTATAAGCTATCATAAAACTTTTAACAAAATTATTATTAGGATATACATTATTGTCGATTCTGATCTTCAGTTAATTTAAAGAAAAAGGATGAACGCGTTATTTTTAAGTCTCTTATGTATGTGTCTTAGTAAGAAGTCCTGTTCTCTACAGCTTTTCAAAAAATATTTAAATATCTTCTGTATAATTCTTTTAAATTAGTTTTTATTATTTTTGTGAGCTTGATGAGATTAGCGTTAAGGCCAACCAAACGTCATTCAAAACAACAATCAATTTCGTGGAATACTAATTTCGACACACCTACTTGGCTCTCGATTGATCACGTGCTTATGCACTAACTTAAAACACTACTTTATTATTTTTGTTTCTTACAAGATAATAAAAAAGTTTTACTGGAAATTTAAATTCAGCAAATATAAATTAAGCCAATCAACATCGTTAATCTTGTAGGAGTCGGACTATAGTGTTAAGAAGATGAATGAATTTTGGAAGTACATGATTGAAAAGTTTCGCTACGTATGTAAAATGCCAGTAACAATTTTTGATAAGATCAGTCACGATCAGATCCTTAGAAGTCAACCATCTATAAGTGGTGGATTGGAAGCAACAGCTGACCGACCGCTGTAAGCTCTTACACGTAGTTTATTTTTAATTTCGTCACATGGTTTACGGTAAATGCTGTTTCTAGGGTCGTAGCCCGGGGTACGTCAAGGGAGGTTGAGCCTGTGCTTGAAAAGGATCTAGCCAATTAACCATATGAAAAACTGCCAAAAGTAGTTTCCATGTTCTTACCTCGTAAATTATTGTTCTTTGTCAGAAGCATCTTTGTACTAAATTTCATACCCCTGCCCTCAAAAATGAGGAAGAATAGGGATGGTAACTCCTAACTTAAAAGTTAGTTGTCTTTAAAACTATCTGGGATATTTTAATTTTATTATCATACTTATCTCAGAAGTAAAAAAAAATAAAATCAAGGTTGCACGTGATTGCTTCATTTGCACGATTTATATTTACATTAATTCGTCAAAATACGAGGTGTGGTTCTTAAGTACCGCTTTGAAATTCCATCGCTGCAACACTTCCGTCAGTGTTTCGCACATTTGGACTGCGTACTGAAATTATGTAGAAAAGTAAATAGAAGTGTTGTTTCTTATGTTAAAGTAAAATTGTGCTAGCTATATATATATTTTGGAATATCACACACACATATATATATACATGTATGTGTGTGTGTGTTATATTCCAAAATTGGAACAGACTTTTTAAAAAAGTTTATTATTACAAAGTACAAACAATACTAGGTCTAATCTTAAGCTAGAATAACTATTCTACTCTATGAACGGCTTTTATAACTTTAGACTATAAATGTAATGTCAGCAAAAGATGTCTTGGTGTATCACGCTATATCTTGCCTTAACACCTCCCCTATTAAGAGAAATTTTTTTTTTTTTTGTTGATAAATTTTTCTATCACTTTGTATCCGGAATGGCTGGTGACACGAATTTTTTTAATAATTTTGGTTTTATTTTTTCGTTCGTTGTTGGTAGTTTTACTGTGAAGAGTTCGCAGCAGCATCTGTAAAAGATACAGATTTGTATGGTTTGATTTGTTCTATGCTGACTAATGCGAAATTTTCCTTATTATTTTTCTTATTAATTTTTACTGCATTTTGTGAAATAATTTCCGTTATTATAATTGGACCTAACCATTTAGATTGACCTTGTTTGTTAATCAGTTGGTTTTTCAAAAAGACTTTATCGTTTACATGGTAATCTCGTAGTGGTTTTTTTATTTTGTTGTCATATTTTTGTTTGAATTTAATTTTAGTTTCAATTTGGTTATTAGATGCCAATTTCTTAAGCTCTTTTTGTTTTGACTGAGTTTCTGTAACATACTGTTCAATTGTCGTTTCGTTAACTATGTCGTCTTTGGGACTATTGAGGTTTCTATGTTTAAATCCGTACAATATTTCAAAAGGGGTCAATTTCGTCGCATAATGGGTTGACGTATTATACGCAAATGTTGCTGAATCTAATAATGCTTTAGGGCCTAATTTATTTTTTTCTTTTGTCGAATAAGTCGAAATTGTATCTTTAAGTGTACTGATTACTCTCTCTACCATACCGTTAGTTTTGGGATGGTAACCTATCGATTTTGTATGTTGAATTCCTAACTCAAATGTTAATTTTTCTAATAATTTATTAACAAATTCTCCGCCATGATCAGTATGTACTCGTTTAGGTAGGCCAAAAGTTGCGATGAAATTTAATAATTTACTTTTAATCGTTTCTGCAGTTTTGTCTTTGATTATATAAGTTTTGAGGAATTTAGTTAATCGATCTTGTATTACTAAAACATATTCTTTTTTTGAAGGTGAGAAATAAATTTCGGCAGTATCTAAATCGATTCTTTCAAAAGGATATATCGGGGTTTCGGTAATTGTTAAAGGAGCTTCGAAACTACGTCTAATTGTTTTATTACTTTGACATTCCAAACAAGAGTTTATATAATTAGTTACATCATCTTTAATTTTGTGCCAGGTAAAGTATTCTTGTATTTTGTTTAGAGTTTCAGTTATTCCCTTGTGTCCAAAAGCAGGTGGATCGTGATGCATTTTGATAATATCTCGTTTTTTTGAAGGATCACCGGAATATTTGTATGTTGTAGAGATTTGAATTTCTAAATTAGGGTCAGTATTTAATTTGTCGCGCAAATAATTTATCATGCGTTCTAATTCTTTACTTGAATCCTTTTCAACAATGAATCTGATCAAATCTTCTTTCTGTATTAAAGTAAGGATTACAAATAAACTTTCAAATAAATCTCTTTGATTAGTGGAGTTGTCGACTATATAAGTTAGATTTGAATCAGATATGGAGGGTTTTAACTCTAGTTTGTCTGATACTCTAGAATTTTCTGTGTCGCGTAAAATGTAATGGCAATATTTTAAATTATTCATCATGATCAAAGCTTCGTAATTATGATTTTTGTCTTGGAATTGTCCTAATACCATTTTTTCGTTTGGATAGTCTCTCTCATCACTCACGTACGAATCGAAATCTATACCTTCTAGTAAATTTTGAATTGAATGACGGGCCATATTAATTTTAATTCGTGATAAGGCGTCAGCGTTCGAATTACATTTTCCCGGTTTATAAACAATTTCGTAGTCGTACTCTTCAAGTTTCAACCTCCAGCGTACTAATCGCGAGCCTGGGTCTTTCACTGAAAATAGCCAAGTTAAGGGGCGATGGTCACAGATGATCGTGAATTTTTTTCCGTATAGGTAAGGCCTGAAGTGTTTAACAGCCCAAACGATGGCCAATAGTTCTCGTTCTATCGTGGAATAGCGGGTTTCCGCGGGGTTTAGGGTTCGACTTGCGTATGCTATCGGTAAACTATTGTTAACAGGACCTTGACTGAGTACAGCACCAATTGCATAGGCGCTAGCATCGGTTGTTAGAATAAAATTTTCATTAAAATTGGGATATTGTAGTATTGGTGCCGAAATTAACTTTTCTTTCAATGTATTGAAAGACACCAATTGTTCATTTTTGAATTCGAATGGGATATCTTTTTTCAATAATGCAGTTAAGGGTTTAGCTAATTTTGCGTAATTTGGAATGAACTTGCGATAATAGCCAGTTAAACCTAAAAAGGATTTGATTTCTTTGGGATTTCTTGGAACAGGGAAATCTTTGACAGCATTAATTTTGTTTGGGTTTGGTTTTATACCTTCTGTAGTGATAATATGGCCTAAAAATTCTGTCTCTTTCCGAAGAAATTCAGATTTTTCTGGTTGAATTTTGAGATTATGTTTCCGAATCCTTTTAAAAACGTTTTTTAATTTCTTACAATGATCCTCAAGCGAGTTTCCAAATACTACAATATCGTCAAGATAAACAAGGCATTGTGTAGGGGTTAAACCAGTCAAAATCGTGTTCATTGCTCTTTGAAAAGTTGCCGGTGCGTTAATTAGACCAAATGGAACCCGAAGCCATTCATAATGACCATTCGGTGTAGAAAAGGCAGTTTTTGCAATGGAGTTTTGATGAACCTCTAGCTGATGATCCAGGGTCGTGAAATGTTTAGCATGTCCGAGATTGTCTAAAATTTCTTCGATATTCGATTATAATAAAAACTATTGCCATAGGTAAATGGAATCTCTATATAAATCGAGGCAGAATTCAATTTTAGTTTTTATTCGTTGGACGATAAATTTTCAACACTGAATACATTTAAAACACTAACGATACAATTTCAGATGGAGATTGGTACGACATAGCTGATCAGCGAATAAGCCGACGACAGTTTCATAATGAGCTGAATAATCCGCTATTTAGCATGCGAATGCAATTTTCAAAATTTTCAGAAAAATAGAAATATCTCCAAAACTACTAATTTTTCAGATAGAGATTATCAAGGACGATCGAAAAAGGGTCGCTGAATTTAAAAATATTCACTCATTAAAAATGTAGCATTCCATTTAAAATAAAATAGTTGATGTCGACTTGCAGTATAACCGGAAGTGATCCACGATTGCAAATATTTTAGTTAGAAAGAGCGTTAGCTTTTAGGTTATTTACCGCATTTTCAAATCTTCAGTGGTACATTAAGTTTAAAACATTTAATGAACGTGTTACGTACAAACGCCAACATATGCTTCATTTTATATGTCATACTAATTTTTATTTTTTTTTTTAATGTTCTATATATTCGAGCTTTGTGTGTTTTTGGTGCTCTTCTGAGAAGGCCGTCATCTGCTGGAGTTGTTGGAGCGAACCGTCTGGAACTGACTTCAACTGACGACTGCCTTTAGTCCAGAACCAGAACACACCAATTCTCCTACCAACCGCGAAAACCTTTATTAATTATTTTTTTGTGTTATTAATGACATAAAAATTTGAAAATTTTACAAACATTATAAATCATTATGCACCATTAAAATTTCATTGAGATGTCTGAAGATAATGATTTTTTAACTTACGAGTTGCAACCACAATGGAGAGGAGTTTGAAATTTGTTTTAAAAATGCTTGTTAAACAACAATAATTTGCGAGATAAAACATTGAAATGTCTTTGGGGCACTTCTCATATACTATAGTTAACCGGCTAGATCCTTTCAAGCCTTCTCTAGCGGCTTGCCGCTAGTCTAACGTTATTAGAAATCAATACCAGAGGAACTGTTTCTTAGGCGCCGTTTTGCCTTGGATAACACAGCTGGCGTTTCCTGAGTTCAACTGACCGAACCAATTCTTGAAGTTTTCAATATAAAAATACGGAGGCAAAATACAATATATTTATTTATTTACTCCAATCGACTATATACAACTAAAAGGGGCAATTAGTAATATTTATATGTTGATATCGAACCTCTGAATAGGTTGATATCCGAGAAATGTTCGTCAATTATTTGTAAGTTCACGATTCTGTTTCTCATTCCACTAAATAGCAATTAGTAATGTTTATATTTATAAATTGCCTTAAAATGATTTTTATTTTCCAAGAAAATGCTAAATGTTAATATCAAAGAAATATTCGCTACTTGAGTACACTGTTCTATTTTTCGGCCCATAGTCCACTACCTTTCATAATTATTATAACCTGCAAGGTCTTATACTAGATATGGGGTAAATACAACCGAATTACTCTAGTATTTCCAGGGATGAATTTCTCTATTGGTGGACTCATAGAAGAATGTGAGATCTGCAATTTGTCGCTGACTTAAAGACTACTCATCCTAAATTGGTCATACACCTCCTCAATGTTCATATTTCTAGTCATATAATACTTCCTATACTTACAAACCCCTTTTGTACTTTTTCCACTCTATCAGATAGAAAATTGATGTGGGGTGGCCATATCGGGCGAACTAAACCTGACTAGAGTTAGACAAGCATGTGGACATTTTTTTTCCTGGCCTGAGTACAATATTCTTGTGATATCAATTTGTTCGCGTGACCAGAGAAGTTTAGTTTATTGTTAGCTACGACTGCACATTTGTTTTCGACGTCCAGACCTCAAGTGCATCCTGATTCAATCTAGCTGGCATAAAATATTTATAATCACATTCTTGAATAAAAAAATCTTCCAATTTCAATTGTTGATGCATAGTTTAGTTAAAACTCAGTAAAAGTGTTTTTCTCTTTAGCATTTTGCATTGCTGCTAGATATATGTTAATAAATCTTGAACGTCCCACAAAAAAATAATTTTTGCTTTGCTTACATTCCCACTTTACTCCGTTATATTCAATAAACGTAACTGTATTAAATAAATATAATAGTATATCAAGCTACTACAGACAGAACACATTTAATCCTCCATTGTGTGAAATAATTCGTCGGATTAGTATAACAAAACTAATAGGATGACTTAAAGACGAATATATTTGATTTATGTAGTGTTTATGTATACTTAGTTGAGCGCATTTAAATTTTTTCCGTATTTAGTATAAATTCCTCAAAAATAGAAGGTGTTGAGTTCATTTAAACATCTCAAAAATTGAAATACCCATCTAGCTCAGGCTTATTTTTCAGTCGGTTTCATACTCATGAACTTTTTGATTTGACCGTACTTTTAATCACGGATTTTTAGGGCGGTACTTGTACGAACTTTTGATTAGATATAGAATTCATCCCCCCTTCGATACATTGCAACGACCAACGCAGCATCCTGAACTATGAAATACGTTGATTGGTGAAACACAGAAAACGCACGTGTAACTATTAGCCTCAGTTCCCTTGTCATTTACTCATTAATTCAAAATACTCTATCATGATCTAATGCTATGTCATAACCCTGTTTAAAGGTACCAGTATTTACAATTATAATCTCAGAAAACGTTTATTATTTGCCCGTTCTTTCAACTATAAGAAATTCTACTTCTATTATGGTTCAACTAAGAGTCAAAAAGTTTACGCCCTCCCTCCGTGCCCTGAGAATTCTAACCACAGTAGTTAGCGAAACTTCGGATAAACTCCCCTATCGGTGTTCAAACTGAAGGAGAAAAAACATTAGATCTTGACCATCAAGCCCGAATATTGTTTCCATAACGTCTACCGCGAATGTCTAACTCTTTTGGCGTTATACTTGAGACGACCAGTAGCCTAATTGTAGCTGTTATTTTATCTAACAAGTAAATCTTAATACAATACTTTTAGATGCTTCCTAGAATTTGAAATTAAAGATTTGATGTACCTTGGAAAGGTAGTGTTTGAGTTGTATTACGACTTTGTCCCCGTTACAGTACAAAACTTTCTGAGTTTATGCAAAGGCGATAATGGTTTAACTTACAAAGGTTCTCCAATTCATAACATTGTAAAATATCAGTGTATTGAAATGGGTGATATAACAAAAGGTAACGGTAAAGGTGGAATGTCTATCTATGGATCCACATATCCGGAAGAAAATTTTGTTCTGAAACATACTAGAGGAGGTAATTATTCTTTAGAAAAGTTATTGATTTCTTCTCCCGTATATAACGGATTTACTTATTGTGAAATCCGCATTTGTTAATTTTTTCCGTTACAGGACACCGAACATTCATTTATACAGAGTGCGGCACAATAACTCCCTTTTTTGAAATGTGCGTTATTCTGGTTGCAGAGGTTGTAGTTAGTCGGAAGTTGTCTCATTCGAGAGACGTGGTTCTACAATTTTGTACCGTGTCTTTCTGTTACCATCATCATCTGAACAGTGAAAACGTGCGTTTGCTGTCGAGGCCTACTCTGATCGCAACCCAGCGCGCCTTCCAAAATCGTTTTAATGTAGCCCCGTTGGGTCCTATCCCTCATCGGAAATCAATTGTCACATGGGTCACTACTTCAGATAAAAAGGGGAGTGTTACAAAACCAAGAACGGCTCGGGCCATCAGAACACTTCAAAACATTGAGATAATGAGAACTTCAGTGTTGCAATCTCCACGGGGTTCTGCGCACAAATTTAGAACAGCTCTTAGACCCTCCGTCCATTTAATGAGGCGAAGTCTTCGCTATGACCTTATCTACCCCCTACAATTTGGTGGTTGCACAGGAACTCTCAAAAGACTTCAATTTTCGAAGGAAAACATGTGATGAAGCCCATTTTCACTGAAATGGAAACTTCAACAAGCATAATATGCGCTACTAGGCTAATTCTAGAGAATCAAAGGCTTTTACATTCACCTAAAGTAAAAATATAGTGTGCAATTTCCTAAGTCAGGATTATTGGTTCATTTTTTTTATCAAAGAAAATGATGTCACAGTGACAATAAATATCAACCGATATGTAAATATGCTGGAAGATTTTCTTTCCATGGCTTGATGAATTATGGGGTATTTGGTTCCAACAGGACGGAGTAACGGCTCACACTTCAAGGGCATCAGTGGCCGTTTTGAGGAAACACTTCCCGGAACACGCCATTTCAAGAAGAAGCAATTTGCAGTGGCTAGCCTGCTCCCCTGATTAGACCCCTTGCGATTTTTAATAAGATTTCCTGAAGGACCCCACAAGACCTGAAAGAATTTGCTAACATACGCGCTACAATGCTGGCAAGAGTCATGACTAATGTTAGAAATCGGCTTATTCGGTGTATCGAAAATGAGTCATCTACCTGACATGATTTTAAAGAACTGTGTAAAACGAAACCTTAGATAGGTAGACATTATAAAAAAAATAGAAAAGTTTTAGTTTCACATAATGTGCTTGAAAAAAGGAAATTATTTTGCCGCACCCTGTATTGTAACCTTGTATTATATAAAAATTTAATCCAGTGTATGAAAAAGAAAAAACATTTGATTAACAGCAGTTCAGACTTAAGGGGTAGTTTAAAGGAGGAAAATAAAGGGGTGGTGGAAATATTGATTTTTTTTTATAGATACTGTTAATCACATTACGTTAGCGTGAAATGTTTTTGTTGCAGGTGTTCTGTCAATGATTCGAATAGGAAAAAACGAAAACAACTCGCAGTTTTCTATAACATTAGACAAAGTGGAAAAGTTTGATGGTAAGAGAGTGGTTTTTGGAAAATCAATAAAAGGAGCTGAAAATCTAATTAAACTACAAGATTTAGGTAGAAGGGTTGGACGTCCATCTTGCAATGTCATCATTTCAAATTGTGGAGAATATTTTAAAATTCGCTGATGGCTATTTATTAGTAATCAATGTTTTCGAAATTATACAAAATATCACATTTTGACCAGATATAACAAATAAATTATAACCGCTTAGATTTTCTGTCCCTGTTCTTAAATTTTTCAGTTGCTTAGTCTTACTACCGTTGGGTAGTAGGGTTATTTATGTATGTTTAATAATTTAGTGTTCTCACGGAAGTTATTCTCGTTAATAGTTTAATAATTTGTTTTTGTATTTCACACCATTTATCGGGTTTCTCTAAGCATCCATTTGATGGCCCTCAGCTATATTCACTATTGAGGAATGGCGTGGTTTATAACTGTCATCACTGGATTGTGTACGTTTTTTTCTCGTTAATTTTTATTTTAATTAATTTACTTGAGAATTGCTGAATTTCTTAATAACGCTACTGAATGATGATTTTAATCAAAATTATATAATATTAAGTTATGTGGCAACCCGCAACTTGCCACAGTACCTTTATTCTAAATTGATTTCTTTTCGGCATGTTCATAGTAAAATGAAGCAATTACAACGACCAAAACGTTTATTAAAAATAACTTAAAAAAATAAAACTGAAGATAAAAAATCTTCAACGAGCACAAGAATACAATTCTAAACAAGGCAGAATACAGAAAATCAAATAAAATAAACCAGTCTATCCACTTACGCGTCTCTCCTAACACTAGCACACTACCTGGGACACGCCTGGCTGCATGCGCTCTTATAATAAAATTAAATAGAAATTCAATTTACTCACTCACCTCCATTTGTTTCTACTGTGAGCCAATCTTTGTATTTCTTGAGAACTCATGCAACCTACCTCTACACCCCTCTTATGTTTCTGCTTGTAATATTCTTGCAACTAATCTTACATTTTGGAGAAAGTGCCCTGCTAACATAACCCGTCCGTTTCTTGTAATTGACTTCCATAATACCCATTGGTCTCCTACTCTTTTCAATACCTTCTCATTTTTAAACTTTTATATCCTACGATATGTACGATCAATCCTCGCTCAACTTCTCTTTGCCTCACGATACAGCAACTTGCATTAATGCAATTCAGGGTTGAACTACAAAGACCTTAATAACGTCTCAATGGATTTAATGTGTTTTTTGGTTTTGTTTTTACTACGTAAATTAAAATGAACGCACCGACATCACAAAGATTTGGAATCTTTCCAAGTTTGATTGTACAATATAAATTAACAAAGATGGTCTATGTGTATGATATGGATCGGAATGGGTAATTTTGAGATGGGGTTTAGCTTTTCCGGATATTTTCGTAAAATACAATTTAGACAGTTTCTTACTAATTTCTTAATGAATCGATAAATGTCTTCCATTTAATAATTTTGAGACAATAATGCATGTCTTATCATATTCAAAACTGACAGTCGTAATGTGTTATTGTGAGTATTTGGAATTTGGCGTATTTTAAATTACCCATTTTGAATCTTACTTGTGATTTTATAAGTACTACCACCTTTTAACGCGTGTTTATTATTGTAGGCTTTTTCTTTGGTTGTCTAGGGTAAATAAAAACGAATCCAGCTCCACTATTTTTAGAATGTGTTTAATGAATAAAATTAAAATATTAAAAAGTATAAAGGTTTGTACAATTAGAGTTTTCCACAGTATTGCACAGCTATCCTNCTCGGACGAGCCCCCAAAATGTAGGCTTTTTCTTTGGTTGTCTAGGGTAAATAAGAACGAATCCAGCTCCATTATTTTTAGAATGTGTTTAATGAATAAAATTAAAATATTAAAAAGTATAAAGGTTTGTACAATTAGAGTTTTCCACAGTATTGCACAGCTATCCTGATACACTTATTTTTTATTGGTCACAAACAGCACATCAATATACACTTAATTTTATCGTCTTCCGTCTTTTTCGTCTTTATCGTCTTTTTGAGGACTTTCCGTCTTTCGTCTTTTACGCGTCTTTCGCCTTTCTCACGTTTTTCCTCTTTTATTTTACTCTTTACTTTTTAATCTGACCTCGATTGCAACTACTACCCCCCCGCGGTGTTCACCATCGTTCACATTGGTAAATTCCCTATAATCTGGGACTTGCAAAAACAATTCGAATGAATCAGAAGCGGACAAACTGCAGAAACTCGCTATCGTATTATTAGAATAAATATAACTGTTATAACTGAACGGAAAGAAAAATATTTAAAATAAAACAAAAACCCACACTCGACCATCTTGATCACGAATCCGACTCGGATTCGGACTGATTGTCAATCCATGGTTTTAAGTATTCGGCGCAGGTGGTAGTGCGCATTGGCCCTTCGTGATGACCCACTTTTAGTACATCATACCTTTCATTAGGCTTGTCCTTTATTATTTCATATGGCACTAGATATTTTGGATAAAGTTTAAGTCCCGGACCGAATTGTGTGCGCTTGATAGCCACAAGATCCCCTTTTTTATAGAATTTTGGTTTTCTTCTTCTCAGATTATATCGTTTTGTATTCTCATCCTGTACTTTTTAAATTTGTCTCTTAGATTCTTCTCGGAGTTTTTCCCGATTTTCATTAAATGTATCAATTGTTTCCTTCTCTATGAGTTCTTTAATAAGAATATCCTCTTTGTTCCTCATTTTAGTTCCAATAAGGACTTCAAACGGAGTAGTGTTGATACTTCTCTGTATGGTACAATTCAAGGCTCTCTGTACTCGATCTAAATATTTGTACCATGCCATCGGGTTTACTAAGCTTAACTTGGTTAATATTGGGATAATTATACGATTGATATGCTCCACTTGCCCATTCCCTCTAGGTACTCCAATAGTAATTGAAACATGCAGTATGTTTTCGTTAGAACAATATGTTTCAAATTCCTCGGCTGTAAACGCTGTTCCTCGATCACTAATAATTCGGGCAGGATTTCCAAATACTCCTTGCTGTTTTGTGAGGCAACTGACAACCTCGCCGGCCGTCGTGGACTTAGTAGCGTATAACCAAGTGAATTTCGAAAAATCGTCGACAATCACCAAAATGTGACGATAGTTTTTATTGGTGCTAGGTAGTGGTCCCAAATGATCAATATGGTAGGTATGAAGAGGACCCTCCATTTTTGGGATGCAATGTAAAAACCCCTCTTGTCTGCCTTCTTTTCTACTCCCTAATATACATGGAACACAGTTTTTTATACATTTCTGTATTTTTTCTTTCATTTTTGGGATGAAAAATTCTCTTTTTATTACTTCCTTTGTTTTATCGACGGCGAAATGTCCAATTTCATGAGCCTTTTTAATTATTTCATCTTGCATAGCTTCGGGAACAACTATCAATTCTTTTCCTTCCACATATTTGTATAAAATATCATTCTTTAGGTGATAATCTTCGTATTCAACATCAGCTTCTAGTAGTCTTCTTATAGTTAGTATATGTTCGTCTTGGTGTTGAGCTAATTTAAATCTCTTCAACACAGCGTCTTCGTCAGCAATCATTTCGCTAACTACCATCGTGTTTACAGGGTTTCGACTGAGGGCGTCAACGTGTGGCATTTGTGATCCTCTTCTGTGGACTATTTCGTATGTATACTCCTCGAGAAGTAAAGCCCATCTTGCTACTCTGGTAGTAAGATCTTTTTTGTCCATTGTTTTTTGGAACGCCGAACAATCTGTTACTATGCGAAACTTATTGCCCAGTAAATATATTCGAAATTTCTTTACAGCCTGTATGACTGCAAGCACCTCGAGTTCATAGCTGCTGTACTTTTCTTCTGCAGGAGTCGTCTTCTTACTCATAAAATAGATAGGGTGAAATTTACCGTCATCGTCATTTTTCTGCAACAGACAAGCTCCGTAACCAACTTGACTTGCGTCAGTGTGCACTTCTGTTTCACAACCCTGTCTGTATATCGCTAAAACTGGTGGTTTTGTCAAAAGCTCTTCAAGTTTTTCAAAGCACCTTCTCTCCTTCTCTTCAAACTGAAATGGAACGTCTTTTCGCAATAAGTCGCTGAATGGCTTGGCAACCAATGCATATGCGGGTATAAACTTTCGGAAATAACCCGTTAATCCTAAGAAGGATTGTATTTGCTTGCAGGTTCTAGGTGTTGGAAACTTCCTTATTGCGATCGTTTTTTCACTGGAAGGCTGTATTTTTCCATCTTCAATAATAAATCCCAAAAAACTAATTCGTTTCCGTAAGATTTGACATTTTTCTTTCTTGATTTCAAGTCCATAGTCACTTGCTATTTTCAATACCATTTCTAATCTTTGTATTCCTTCCTTTTCACTGGTGCTTAAAATAATTAAATCGTCCATGTAATACAATACAATTCTCTGATTGGCTAAGTCTCGAAAAATGTGTCCAATGAACTTCTGAAAAACTGCAGGACTGTTACACAGGCCAAAAGGGCATCGTAAAAACTCGTATTGTCCGCTAGGTGTAACAAACGCGGTATACTTTACACTTTCATCTGCAACCGAAACATGAAAAAATCCACTCCTCAAATCTATGGTACTAAAGTAATTTGCTCCCTGAAGACAGTCCATCACATCTTCAATTAATGGAAGTGGAAACCTATCTTTGATAATATTTTTATTTAGTTTCCTATAGTCACAACAGATTCTGGTTTGTCCGTCTTTCTTACTCACTAATACAATTGGACTAGCAAAATCGGAAGAGCTGGGCCTGATAATGCCTTCTTTCAGCCACTCCATTATTTGTTTGTCGACAATGATTTTCTCGGGAGCAGTCAATCGCCTAGGTCTTTGATAAACGGGTTCTTCACTTCTTAGTAAGATGTTCATCTTGATGTCTGTGGTTTTGATTTTTTGGGTTTATAATTTTCAAGTAAATCTAAGGCTTTTTCGCGATAACTTTCATTCCGAATATGTTGAATATCCACTACATCCGACGATTTGTCCTCATCTACGTTAATTTGCATTAGGAAATTTTCCTTTTCCTTGGCGTATACTTCTATCCCATCATTTCGAATGTGGACATTTACTTGAGACAGAAGGTCATTTCCAACAATAGCTCCGAAACTGGAAGTACTTGTAGGAATTACATGAAACCTTAAAATGACATCCTCATCGTTAACCTTCGCATTCTGAGAAAAAGATCCTAAAGTT